GCGTGCGGCCGCCCCGCGCTGTCGCGTCGCGCACCGACGTCCCGCAGTAGCCCGAAGATGGGCACGCGCGTCTTTGCTGCCCGCTGCGCAGCGCGGTGCGCCGCCGCGCCCGCGCGCCCCTCGGCGACGACGCCTGGGCTCGCGAGGTGTGGGGGTGAGGGGGAGGCGCGGTCGCCGACCGTCTGGGCGGCGGCGGCGCCGAGCTGGTCGGCGAGCCCAGAGCGCGCGACTGCTCCGTACAGGGCCGCCAGCATCGCCGGCCACTCGGGACGCGTGTGGTACTTGAGCTCTAGCGTCGTGGCGGGCTGCGTGGCGGCGGGCTGCTGCGGCCTGGCGGCCCAGCTGCGCGCCCGCAGCAGCGAGAGGAGCTCGTCGAGGGAGAGGAGCGCGCCGGCGCCTGGGAGTTGTGGGCGGCAGTGAGAGCAGCACCTGTCGGAGCGGTGGTGGCGCTGCGAGGTCGGCACCGCCGGCGGCGGCGCGCAGCTCCGCGAGAGGCGTGTCTGGAAGGTCCGCGGGGAGCTTCCACAGCGCCCGCAGCGTCGGCGGGTGGCCGACGAAGAGCTGGCTGCCGCCGGCTGTGCCCTGTGCTGGCCAGAAGAGGTCGATGTCGAAGGAGGACACGCCGCTGTCGAGGAGGCGCCGCCGGAGGGTGAGGGCGAGGCGAAGGGAGTGAGGACAGGAGAGAGGAGAGCAGAGGAGCGGAGGGCACTAAGGCAAGGGAGAGAGAGAGAGAGAGAGGACCTGTCGAAGAGAGCTGCGAAGCTCGCGGCACTGGGGGCGCTCCGTTCGTCCTGGGTAGAAGAGGGCGAAGACGCGTGAGGAGGGAGCTTGGGTGCGGAAGCTGGTGTGCTGAACTCGGAGGAGCTAGTGTGTGGCGCCACCTGGTCAAACCCACGGTGGGAGACGAGGCGCGGCGAGCGACACGGCGGCGGCGAGCCGCCGCCGACCAACCACTGCGACGAAACGCGCAGCAGCGCCACCCCAGCCACCAGAGCGAGGAGCAGCAGCCGCAGCCCTCGCGGCAGCAGTCCTCCTCGTGTTGCCGCGCCTGGCCTCTTGTTCATCGCGGAGACCTCATCGTCGCCTGCGTACCCCTCTGCCTGGGACTCCTGAAGGAGCGAGCGGCGCTCGGCCTCGTCGTTGGCCTCGTCGTTGGCTCTCAGGATTGGTGACAACACGGGGGCCGCGAGAGAGGCCCCGCCTCACTTTTTCACACCGGGGGTTCGGGCTTAGGGATCCCTAGGCAGTATATACTTTTCCTCTCGCACCCCGTCTCTTTTTCTTTCCTTTTTTCTCTGCAGCACCCTCTCTTTTCCTCTCTATTTTTCCCGGGGAAACCATCAAATTTTCCGGGCTCTGAGGCCTCTGAGCCGAGTCTGACTGAGCTGGTTTGGGCCCAAAATCAGCCAAATCGGAGAGAGAGATTTTTAGCAATACCAAACAAATCTAACACCAAATCGGCAAAACACCGGGTATTTTGCGGGTATACCTGGAAAACCCCGGGTATACCTGGAAAAAGCCCGGGATGTTGCCGGGTTCCTCGATTTTGCCTCAGATTTTGCCCCAGACCAGCTCTCAGACTCAGGGAAACTCGCGAGTTTCCAGAATTGAGCACCAAACACCCTCTGTTTTCCCTGGAAATTTCCGGAAACGCAAAGTGCTGGGGCCCCCCTCTGTTTTCCTTTTTGTTTGCCGGAAAAGTATATACAGGCCAAGGGTCCGCGTCCGGAAAAAGGATGCTTTTCGCTGCGCATGCTCGAGCCCCCGGGCGAGGGCTTGTGCTGTGAATAGCAGGCGTGGTCTCTACTCGCCAGGACAACACGGCCAGCAGGCGCGAAGAAAAGAAAAACTGGGAATTGTACCGAAGGGCCTGCCCGTTGTTACGGCGCGGCACCGATTTATTTATTTCTCGCCCACGCGGCCCAGCAGGCGCCTTCCAGGCGCCGCTGGCATCCCCCGCACTTTGAGGCGCCTCTCCGCTTACCTGCCCCTCACGTGAGCTTCCAGTGGTTGCGTTTACTAATGGAAACCTCCTGAATGAAACTTCAATCAACAACTCCCACGAGCGGAGCTTCGCGAACTAAATGAGGTGCGGCGAGGGAGGCGCACCAGCTTGCGGGCGTGCCAGGCGTTGAACATCACTGCCAGCAATGCCCATTTAAGGAGGCACTTGGTCTTCCAGCTAGTGGTTCTGTCGGGGAGCGCCAACGTAGCAAGCAAGTCCACCGCCTTCGAGGTGAGGCCTCTCATCGTTCGCTTTTTGATGTGAACACCATTGGGTCGAGCGCCGAGGCCTTGTCGACGCGGTCGATGAAGCCTGCCTGGGAGGGGAGCGGGGCAGATCAATTAGTGAGGGACGCGCGGGGTAAGGGGGGGGCGGGTGTGTGTGTGTGTGGAGAGAGGAGTTGCGACGGGGGCGAGGCGAGGGGGCGAGGGGCGAAGAGAGCGCGCGCACACACACCAGCATATCTTGCTGCGCCCTTTGCCGGACGGCGCGGCGGTGCAGCTCGGGAACCACGAAATCGATCTCGAGCTTGCGCGACTCCTTGATCGACAGGTCGCGAGTGGCGACTAGGCGATCCTGCAGCAAGCAGCAAAAGCGGACGCGAGCGGTGCCGACGGCGCACATAATCATGAACGCGCACGAGGCGCACGAGATCACGCCCTCGCGGGTGACGGTCGCCTGCTCTGCAGCGAGCGAGCGCTCAACTTAGCCCCCGCACACGGAGCCGGGCTCAGACTTAGACGCTGTATGGTCGGGGGCCATGAACTTAGACGACATAAGGCCAACTCCGGGTAAAAAAACCGGTATACCTGAACAGCCTTCACAGGTTTACCCGAAAAATACCTGGAGCGTCCCGACCAACGTATGCCGCGCACGACGCCATATCGCCTTCTCCCAGGGCCAGTGCGCTACTTGCGGCGCGCAACGCCTGCTCAAGTACGCGCAACGTACCATGTGCTGCCGCTATGCGTGCCTTAGGCGGCTGCGCGCTGCGGCGAAGCGGCGGGCGCGGCATGCCGATGGCAGTGCGGACGATGCGGTTGCGATGTGTTCTGCTTCAAGATCGTGGCGGTGCTTGGCATGCACTTCTGCGATCCCAATCAGCTCATCGCAACGAAGCAGCGCAACAAGCTGCTGCTGCCAACAAGGCCCTATGCTACCTCACGCACGGATCGTTCAAAGAGGACCAGCATACACAGGCTTCTCTGACACGCGTTTGTTTTGAGCTTGAGGCTATTTGTGATAACTGTTTGGCTAGAAGTCGCCGAAGATTGCGCTCAAGTAGCAGCAACGAGAATCGGAAGAGGAGGAGGCTGAGGCGGCGATTGCTGAGCATGAGAAGGATCGATCGCCCGCCGCAGGCGAAGAAAAGTTTTGGGGGCTGCGCCGTATCGTTGTACGTTGATCAGAACTTAGACACTTCTACTACCCAACCAGTGCGAGATTCGCAGAGGCCAGAGCGCCTCGCCGCACACAGGCACACGCTGCGCACAGCGCAGCGAGGGTATCTCGTGTGCAGCACCACACTAACTGTGCGCGCGCCGGGAGGTGTTTTTTCTGCCGGAACACATCTGGTCTGTATTTGTAACTCGACGGCGACGCACATCACTCATCAGCTTAGGGGGACCCCTGGGTTCTGAGGGCCGGGGTTTTTTAAGACCTTTTAAGAAACGAGGAGGTTTGGGGCTTAACTTGCCATTTAAGAGATTGCAGGCGCGGGGGGTCCCTCTTTTAAGACCGTTTAAGAAAATCGGCCTCGCCGGCATGCGTCGATGGGTTCCGCGCCGTTTATCCAATTGTCCAATACTGCCGCCGTTATTGGGCACAAACCCGCCTCTGAAGACACATCTGTGTAAGTCTGGTGCACTGGCAGGAGCCATACTTGCATAGGGGACGCGTGCTAGCTGACTGTAGCCAGCTTCCCGGCCTACGGCGTCTACCGCTCTGGGCCGGCGCGGGGGCCCCAGAGGGTGTCCATGCGGGGGGGAGATGGGGTCCCATGGCCCGCCGCAGGCGCCGATTTTTTCGGATTGTTTTTCTTTTTTGGCGTTTTTTTACTTGTTTTCATGGGAATTCGGCGTACTTGCGGCCATGCTATCACGCCTTGCGACAGCCTGTCGGCGCAGCTGACCGTGCCATGATGCACAATTGATCACCTGCATAGCTCGCGGCCTTAGTATCAAGCATTCAGTGACGACCTGATCGTACGGCCAGTAGGAAGGTGTCCTTCCATCGTGTGCACGCTTCTGGCGCAATGCGCGTCACCTCGGATTGGCTGCTGGCACTCTCGAGGCTATGCCTACACAGCCTCGCGCGCATGGGCAGTCAAGAGGGACCACGCACCTTCTCAGGACAGCGCCGGTGCCTCTCTCTTGGACCGGCAAACTTGGTGGTATCGTGTCACCAATATGGGACCAGTGCGGCATCGCGCCATCGACAGCTCTGAACTGCGCCTCACCACTGACCGGGAAGGCCGCCAAGTGGGCCAGCACAGGTCGCACATTGTGGCAGCAGTCAGCAGTGCATGGCTGATAGCTAGAGCAGCAGCGTCAGGGTCGCAGGGTCGGATCGTGTCAAGCCTCTCGCCCGGCCGGCCGCGTGCAGACGTCGGCCTGTCTGCTGTCTGGAGTGATCTGTCGGCGGTCAGTACGACCGATCAGGTCGGAGTTTTCTGATGGTTGGAGGGTCTGTCTGTATGTACTCCTCGAGATCTTTCCAAATCTGCCCTCTACTTAACCGTACTTAATCGGGAAGTCGGTGCTCATAGAGACTCATAGAGCCGGAGCCCCGTTTCCGCACTGCGGCGCGGCGCACGGTGCCTCCGGGGGGCCCCGCGCCGGCCCAGAGGTCTACCGGGAGCCTGCAGCCTCCCGGACCACATCGACCTCGCCGGAGCCGCTCTCCCGCACCGTTTAAGCGTTTAAGACCGTTTAAGGAATCGGCGGCCCAGGCAGCCTTAAAATGGGCCATGCCCATGGCCCGTTTTAAGCCGTTTAAGCCGCAGGCGCCCCAGGGCCCACCCTTTTAAGCCTAGGGGTCCCCTAAGCTCATCAGCACACGACACACGAGAGACCTGTGCTCAATAATATCTAATTTAATAAACTCCACCGAGGATGACCCCACGTTTTGTACCGCTCTTATCCGGCGCTCTCGTCGCCGCCTCGCTCATCATCGGTCGGCGGCGGGCGCAAGCCGCTCGGCCGCGCGCCGAGGAAGGGGAGCGGCTGCAGGTTGCACTCAGCCGCGTGTTGCGCGAGCACCTGGGCGTGGGCGCGGTGAGTCAGTCCACGTGTGCTGCCGATCCACCCACGCGTGTGCTGCCGATCAATCAGCGCGTGTGCTGCCGATCAGCGTGGCGTGGTGTGTCGGTGGTTGGTGGCGGCGGGGCGGGAGCTGGCGGCGCCTCTCGCGTCGGCGGCGGCACAAAGGCGCGCGCGGCGCGCATCCGCGCGGCGAGCGCCACGTCCGCCGTCTCGATCGGTCCGTCCAGCTCTGGCGCACCAGACTCGAGCGGCCGCTTGCGCGCGCCCGCGGCGTCGGCGCTCTGCGCTGTGGGGAGGCCCGAGGCGTGGAGGCGGCGCGCGCGAGCGTAGTGCGACGCGTCGTGGAGCAGCTCGGCGCCTAACAGCGGGTCACCGGCCGGCTCGCACCTCGTCCCACGGGTGGGGGGGGGGGAGGGGGGGAGAAGGGGGAGGGGGAGGAGGAGGGGGTGGGGGGGGGGGGGGAGTCGCTCGCCGTACGCATGCGCAACCTCGTACAGCTGCAGCGCGACGGCGGGTGAGTAGGAGCGGACGCCCATCGCGCGGAGGAGGAGCATGATGCGCAGCGCGGCGCGGGGCACCCCCTCGGGGGGCGGGCCGCCCCCGTCGCACGCGGTGGCGGGAGGGAGCGGCCGCGCGACGGTGCCTGCGCGGCGCGGGCCGCGGGCGATGAGCTCGGCAGACCTCCCGCGCCACCCCCCTCCCCCTGGCCCCCCCCTCCCCCTGCCTCGATCGCTCGACCTCGCCCCTCGCCCTCCCCGGGCGCTGCTCGCCTGCGCGGTTCAGCTGCAGCAGCTTCCATTGCACGGCCCTCTCCAGCTCGATGATGAGCCGCTCGACCGCCTCGCCGGAGTGTGCCGCGCCCACGCGCCCCTTCCACCCCTCGCGCGCCTCTTGCCACGTCGGCTCCAGCGTCTCCGACTTGATGGCAGCCTGCGTGGCGCGGGCGCATGAGGGTGCGGGCGTGGGCGGATGGTTGCTGGCGGGCGCAGCGCGGGGCGGGGAGGTGGGGTGCGCGAGGCTTGCAGCGCGGCAAGGCAGTGGCGGGAGATGAGGCCCGGGAGCTTATCGGCCGGCGTGAAGAGTTGCAGCCCCGTTCGAGCGGGCGGATCTCCGGCGCACTGGATGTGTGAACAGGTGGGTCGCAGCGCACACAACACGCGCACCTCGAGCGAAAGGAGCTGGGCGCCGAGTGCCTCACTGGTGACAATGGCAAGGACCTGGCTGACCCACTGCTCGCGGCGCGGGCCCCACGACTTTTTGACGCTCGTCCACGGAAGGCGCACCTCGAGTTCGGTGAGGCGCGCCTTGGCCGCCTCGATCGGCGGTGTCATGGGTCCAAGCGGCGCAGAGCGAGGCGTCGCCGCGCAATTCTTTTTATCTGTTTTTTGCATTGACCGTGGTGGCCGAAGAGCCAGGTAAGAGCCACAGCATGGAGATCTCTCAGCACGGTGGCGCCTCCTAATAAACCTAAAAAAATGAATTTATTTCTATGTCTTCAAGAAAGCAGAGTAGTCCTCCTACCTAAGGGAACGTAAGTAAGAGAGAGAGATTTTTAGCAATACCAAACAACTCTAACACTCACACGTCATTTGGGGCCTGGAGCCCTGTTCACGCGCGCGCGAGACGTTTGTTTGTTAAGTAAGAGGTAAGTAAGAAAGAGCCACATACAACGAGAAACAAACAAACAAGGATCATCGACGCGGGCTCTCTCTCTCTCTTCAATGAATCGATGGCGCATGCGACGAATCGATGGGCGTCGGCATCGGGAATCATTTGACAGACTGTCTGACTGTGTTGTTTGTGTACTCACAAACGGGCGAGACGGAGTGCGTACCCGTGAGAGGCTGCAAGCAACGCGCGGGTTCCCGGTGGTCAGTCAACGGGCATTCGACCGTCCCCTCAGCGCACAGCGCTCAGCGGCTCTCTCGCGCGTCTGCCGTCTCTCCGCCCGGCCGGCGCTCCGCTCTAGACACACAGACTCTGTCGCTTCTTGATCTTGTCGGATGTCGCTTCACAGACCGGTCCCGCGCGCCGGTCGCGCTCTCCAATGTCTAAAACACGCCCGGTCAGTGACCCCGCTCGCGGTGCCTCGATCTCTTCCGATAAAGCAGAGCCGTGCGGGCGACTCTTTATGGGAGTGCTAGCTACTAGTCCCCCTACCCCCTCTCCCCCGCCATCGGGAGGACGACCCCACGGCTAGTCGCCGACCGCACACCCCACATAAAGAACACCCCTGCACAAAGATCGCAAGGGCGGTCCCCATATCTCCTAGTAGAGGTCCGTCCGTTTTATTTATTTGTTATCTTATCTGGGCTAGATATGCGCGCCACCGTGCCGGGTCCCGCTGTGCGCTGAGCCGGTGAGCCTGAGCCTCTGACGACGCCTTGAGCCCTCCGTTACGTATAATACCGCGCAGCGCGCTATACCTCACATGACACCCACATGCACTCGACATGGCCGGTCAGGCTGGCAGGGAAGAGGGCCATGCAAGAATGCACCCCCATATAACACGCACGTCGCTTGCGGAAACACACCCCAAGGCCCAAGGCACAGCCCTTCGGACCGCGCGACCGCAGGGCTCTCTCGCTCCAGCGCGTCACAGCTCTAACTGATACTCCTTTGCCTATCGCTGGGTCATTCGGATCCCTCCCGCCGGGAAGCCCGCAATTTCATCCTTCGCCGGCAGCGCCGCCGGCGCTGATCGCTCCTCGGCCGCTGCCGGTTGCGCAGCGAGCGCTGCCGCCGCCACCGCAGTCGCCAATCCTCCGCGGGGGGCGGCGCCGCCCTCCTCACAGCAATAGACGTAGCACTCCGACCCGTCGGCCGTCGCGAACCCCTTCGCGCCGGCGGAGCCGGCAACAGGGCAGGCCCAATCCGCAGTCCAGCTGCTGCAGTCGCAGCGCGCTGGCAATTCCGCGATGGGAAGGGAGCGAGACGCGAACTCCCCGGGGCTGGCTTGATCTCCGCCTCCGCTGAAGACATCGAGCCAACCGTGGGTGTCCGTGGAGCGGGAGATGAAGCTGGCGCCAAACCAAGGCGGTGGTTCGGGCGGCGCGGGCGGCGCGGGCGGCGGCGGCGGCGGCGGCGGTGGCGGCGGCGGCGGCGGCGGCGGCGCGGGCGGCGCGGGCGGCGGCGGGGACGGGATCTGGACGTGCGAGAAGCGGCCCTGGCCGAGGGGGACATGGATGCCGACCGACGCGAGCCGCGCCTGGTCGACGAGCGCCTGCTCGTAGCGCGCGCGCGCAGAGTTCTTTGCCGGGTTGTAGGCGGCCTACAGGCGCAGCTGCGGCGGTGAGGAAGCGGCGTGCTGATGGCTGCGCGCCGAGGCTGCGCGGCGCCTGCTGCAGCCAGCGCAGCATCTTCAGCGCCTCGGCGTTGGCCTGCATCGCCTCGTTGACCGCTCGCTTGAGGCCGGCGAAGTGCACCTTGGACGCCTTCTTGCCGGCGAACTCGAAGCGCGTCGCGAGCCCGCCGATGACGTCCAGCTTGTGGCCCTCGTCGCCGACCGACTTGTGGCCGTCGCAGAGCAGCGACGACACCTCGGCCGCGAAGTGGGGCATGAAGTCGGTGACGGTCGCCGCGGAGAACTGGTCGGAGAAGGAGCTGCCTGCCGAGGCGCCGACGAGGTGGTGGAGCAGAGGCGTGTGGGCCGAGGTGGCACTGGCGGCGGAGGAGCAGTCGCGCGCCGGAGAGCTCGATCGAGTCGAAGATGAACTTGCCCTTGCAGCCCTTGATGGGCGCCTCGCCCGCCTTGTGCAAGTCGATGTCGAGCACGAGCAGGCCCTGCAGCGACTGGACGGCCGTCCCGCCACCGAGCGGCAGCTGCTCGCAAAAGAAGAAGGGGCAGGTGGCCTGCGAGAGCATCCAGTCGTACCGGAACCGCATCCGGATGTCGGACACGATCACCTGCAGCCCGTCTGGCGCGCGGTTGGTCAGCAGCTGCGTCGGGGCGAGCTGCTGCCGCCACCACTCGAGGTAGTCGTAGCAGGTGCCCAGCTTGAAGACGAACGGCTCAAAGTCGATCAGGCTCACGTTCCAGGCGGAGAAGGTCTGCGGAGCGGCGCGGGATCGGCTCGAGCTAAGCCGCACCTCGGCCACACCTCGGCCACACCTCGGCCACACCTCGGTCACACCTCGGCCACACCTCGACCCGATCTCGGCTAGGCGTCAGCCTGCGAGGTTGCCAGCGTGAGCTTCAGCTCGGTCGACTGCAGGCCGGCGCCGGTGGGCAGCGCGTCCTCGCCCGACGTGCCTCCGTCGGGGTCGGCGATGCGCGCCGCCATGTTCGCGACCAGATCGGAGACCTGCTTGGCGACGAAACTGTCCACGAAGTCCTGCGCGGCGGGGAGGGGCGCTGTATCGAGGGGCGCTGCTCCGAGGGCGATGCTCCGCTGTATCGAGGGCGATGCTCCGAGGGGCACCCGTGCCGGCGGGTGCGCGCCGGTGGGGAGTGTGCGTGTGGCGCGCTGGCTCATGTCGCGTGCGCTTCCCGGAGGGCGTTGAGCCGCGCAGTCGCTCAGCGATCGGCCGCGCTCTCTGTCCCGCGGCAGGCCACCCTGCCGGCCACCCTGCCTAACCCCACCTTGCCTAACCCTAACCCCACCCTGCCGCGGTGCCGCAGCCGCGCCACGCTCCTCGGAGAGCGGATGCGCCTTGTGGCGTGCGTGTGAGTGTCTGCGGCGCCTGAGTGCAGTCCCCGCTGAGCGCGACGTTGGTGTCGGACGGCTGCGCCTCGTCGAAAGCGACGGGCGCCGCCGCCTCCCCCTTGCCCAGCACGTCCCAGCAGTTGCCTACCTCCGGTCAGCGCGGGCGTGAAGAGGCGCCCTCACGCCTCTCGGCCCGCCCCGGTCACGGACGGTGCCGAACATGTCCATCGAGGAGCACGCGGTCGTCGACTCGGCCTACGCCTCGGGGCCTCGCGTCAGCCGCGGCCGAACCAGGGAGAGGCGTAGAAGGCAAGGGGCGGCGGCGAGTCGTGGCGGCCTTTTTGAGGCCGTGGGACAGCAGCGGGTCATGCAGCGAAAAGGCATAGTGGAGCGGCTCTGTACTCGCGTAGTCGATGTGCGCCATCGCCTCGTCCGTCATCGCCTTGCCAGGGTTCCAGCCGTCCATCGAATGCTCCTGCGACGTACCCTGGAGCAGATCCTCGTCCACCGCCTTGCCGGGATACCAGCCAGGCCGCGAGAGGTGCTTGCCTGGGAACCTGCCGCCCGGCGCCGATGCGGCAGCGTGAGGGCGATAGCGGCAGCAAAGTGCGGCTCACCAAGCTATCATCGCATCACTAATATCTCGACAGCGCACCAGCCATCTGCGCCTCTCGCGGCGTGCTGCGCGCTCGGCGATTTGGCGAGGAGTCCAAGCGCAGCGAGGACGAATAGAAGAGCCGTCGCCGCGAGAATCGCAGGGCCGCGCGTGTGTCTGCTCCTACGTTCCTCGGTCAACATGTACACACACACACTTGAGAGTAGGATCCTAGTGCCTCGACGAAACGCCGCGCGCCACAAAAGAAACGCGAGCGTACTAGCCGGATAGAGGGTCTGTTGACTGCCGAACCTGTCGGACCTTAAGACAGCATTGTAGATCCCTGGGCGAGGGTGGTGGCGTCCCCGTCGGGTCAGGACTGAAGGCGAAAGAGAGGGGAGACCAACCCGATCTCTCCGGCGTCCCGGGAGCGTGAGACACCTCCCCCCGTGCCAACAGCCCCATAGGCAGGTAGGTAGTGGTGGTCAGTAGGCCATGCTCTGGCGGGCTCGCGAGCGGCGCTGCACTGCGCGTGCCGAAGTCCCCCCGTGGGACTGGTTCACTGCGCGGCCTGTTCGGACAGGTATAGCAGTCTCGCCAGACGAGGCCCGTGAAGAGGCCACCCTCGCTTGAAGCGCCTCTCCGGGCCTCGTTTTCGCTCTCATGCGCGACGCTGGCCAGGCCATGTGTGGGTGCGCGCTGCCGCCCAATCGACGCGCTCCCCCGCCCAACACCCCTACCCGCCGGGCAGCGCGCCATCCAGATGGCCGCCCCGACCCTCACTTCCGGCTGCGCGCCCACGCATCGCCAGCAGGGCCGCCGAGCGCATTCGAGCCTACAATAGACACCGCACAGTACAGTGGGTTGCGGGCATTGAAAATTTTAAGCAGATTAAGAAACCACGGCGGCGATTTCCGCGAAAATCTAAGAAACCACGGCGCGCCGCAGGCGCGGCCCCGACTAGGGCCCCGAGAAAAGGCCAGAGACGAGTGTGAACGGGAGCCCAAGGTTTTTGCTCGCCTTCCCTGGGACCCCGTGTTGCATGTCTGACCGTCACTGTGCGTTTATGTGAATAGGAGGTATTTTCTTCTCAATAACAAGGCTGTGAACAACATGCGTGTCGCGCACTCATTCAAAGCTGCTCGCTCGAACCGCGGCCGACTCTGCCATCGCGGCTGCAGCTGTTGAGCTCTCCAGAAGACTGGTGCCTGATATGCTGCCTCCCTGCGGATGCTGCCGGCGAGCCTGGCGGTCCGCTGTACTACAAGGAAGTGCTGACTCGATCCCCCCCCGCAATCTTCTACCCCCACGACTCGGAACGCGAATGTGACAGGACCATCGGGTCCTTCGGCCACCCAACGCGAGATCACCCGAGAGCAGCTGGGTCTGCCTCTGGCCTCGCCTCCCTCTCCTTCAGGCATTCGTGGCATCCTATGGGTCGTCCAGAGTATCGCGAGTCAGCCAGCCCCACTTTGAGGGCGCCATGAAGTACAGCGATCGCCATCTCGCTGGCCTCTGTCTCCGCAAGGCCCCCCGACCGCGTCGAACTCAACGGCGCGGGCTCTCTCGGCTACGGGACCGGCGCACCGGCCCCAGCTTCGGCTGAGGGCTGACAAAAGCTGCCGAGCCCAAATCACTGTGTGAGAGTCGTGATTTATTGTTGGTTTTCAAATCTCTCTCTCATTCATGACCGGTCTCAATGTCCCACCCCCCTGCGCGAGGGCCTTCTAGGCCCGCGGGTAGGTAGTCTCACCCCATCCCCAGGGCCTCCAGGGCTCGCACCTCAACCTCTCACAGACCAGCGCACAGCGTCATCTACATTCTTGGAGCACTTGGAGTGCGGTCATCAACCTCACATCCAGGGCCGGGGAGCTAAGAAGCGCACCCAGCGGGCCGGATTATCGGCATCGGGCTACGGGCTAGAGAGCCCTGCCTGACCCCTAGCGCCTAGGGGGGAGGGTGCGCGTTCGCAGGCAGGGAAAGAAAGGAGCACTTGGAGTGCAGTCGGTAGCCGCACCCCGCACGCCCAGGACCGGGGAGCTAAGAAGCGCCCCAGTTAGCCAGACGATTGGGATCGGGTTGCGGGCAAGAGAGCACTAGCGCTTCTAGTTAGCAAGTTGGCACAGGTGTATTTTCTTCTCAATAACAAGGCTGTGAAAAGCACAGGAGGGCGCTTGGGTCTAAATTTAGTGCGGTGTGACGTGTTTATCTACTGCATCTTTAGCGCAAATTTAGCGCAAATTTAGCGCAAATTTAGCGCAAATTTAGCGCAAATTTAGCGCGAGTTCACTGCGACTTTACATCCAGATTTAGCGAGGTTTCAGTCGTCTTTAGTCCAGCCCCGCAGTAGGATCCAGCCGCAGACCCTCGCTAAGACCGACCCTCACGCTCACCTCTACTCAGTACTCTATTACAGCTGGTGGTCACGGGCACAGCATGGGTTGTGCGGTCGGAGGTGGTGCTTGCGGTGGCGCATTCAACTGTGCTGGTCCTCTTCTCGGGAATCGGTTATGTGCCTGTGCTCAGTCGGGAGATCTTGCTCTGGAGGGCAGCCCTCACTGGGAGCCTGCCTTTGGGTCATGAGGGCAGGGGCCAGGCATCTCCTGTGGTGCATTCTTGGCAGCCAAGGAGCAAAGCACGCGGCCCTGGCTAGCTGTGGTGTGGCTGGGAAGCCGTGCTAAAGTTGCGTGCCCGCACTAAAGATGCGGGACCCACACTAAATGTACTGCAGCTGCCCGCACCTAAAGTGAACTAAATGTGGCGCTAAATTGGAGATAAAACACACTTCATGCACATGCACATGTACATGCACATGTGCATGCACATGACATGAAATATGTGCTAAATATGTGCTAAACATGTGCTAAATATGTGCTAAATTTGCGCTAAATTTGCGTTAAAGTCGCACTATATACGCACTCGAACACTAAATAGCGCACTAAACTATCACTAAAGTTAATTCACAGCCTTGTTATTGAGAAGAAAATACCTCCTATGGCGCTGTGCGCTGGCCTGTGAGAGGTTGAGGTGCGAGCCCTGGAGGCCCTGGGGATGGGGGGGGACTACCTTCACAGGCACTAGATTTAGACACAAAGCAGTTGGAGCACTTGGAGTGCAGTCAGTAAGCGCCCTCCAGAGACTCAAAATCCTGTTCATGCCGACTCGTCCAGGCGCTGAGGTGCTCGCCTCTGGACTTGGCGCCGCCGTCACCGACACACTCTTCAACCCGCTGGAGATGCTCAAGGTACGGGTTCAAACGTCGGAGACGACCGCGCCCAGCGCCGCCCGCGCTGTCTATGCAAAAGGCGGCCTGTGGCTGCTGTGGTCTCCGGGACTGCAGGCGACGTGGGTGCGCTCCTTCTGCGTGACCGGGCTGCGCGTCGGCCTCTACCCGACTGTCAAGGCAATCACGCCTCTCCCTGCTCGGCCCTTTGTCCCTCACCGCCCGAAGCCTGGCTTACCTGAAACCTCGGCGCCCAGGCGCTCGTCGGCGCCGACTCGCTGGGACAAAAGCTCGCTGCCGGCGCTGCGACCGGCGCTCTGTCCTCCGCGCTGGCCAACCCGATCGACATGGTGCGGACGAGGCTACACGCGCAGGCATCCCTTACAGACACACACATCACACCACCCCCCTCGAGCCTCCGAGGAGAGGCTGGCTGCGGCGAGGCTGGCTGCGCAGCGGTGGAGAGAGGGGCCCCGTGCGGCGGAGTCCCACCCGTGCAGCGCCCTGCGCCAGGTCGGACTGCCGACGCGGTACGCCTCCACCGCGGCCGCCGCGCTCTCCATTGTGCGCGGCGAGGGCGGAGTCGGCTCGCTCTGGCGCGGGCTGGGCGCGACGGCGGCGCGGCAGGCGCTGCTCTCCTCGGGGCAGCTGGCCTCGTACGACGGCCTGAAGCAGGCGGCTCGGGGCGCCGGGGCGACGGAGGGCACTCCGCTGCACGTGTGCTGCGCCGCGGCCAGCGGCTTTATCGGGCAGCTCTTTTGCATGCCGGCCGACGTGCTGAAGGTGGCGATGCCACGCACGCCTCGCCCGCACGCTGCCCTTGCCCCTGGCTCTGCCCTCGACTCCCTCGTACCGCTGCCGCGCGCTCGCGTGTGTGGAGACCGTCGCCGTGCTCCTACCTCTCCTTCCTCTGCCGCAGGTGAAGGTGCTGAGTGGCGACCACGGCTCAGTCTCCGCCTGCTTGCGCCACACCCTGCAGCACGAGGGGGCGGCGGGGCTGTACCGCGGCTTCTTGCCGGCCGTTGTGCGGCAGTGCCCCGTCATCTTGGTCCAGATGCCTTTGATCGAGCAGATCCGATGCGTGGCGGGGCTAGGGCACATCTAGCTTAGGAGGGCGGCGCAGGAGAGGTCAGGCGTGGAGACTCGCGACGCCCGGGCGGACTAGTCGAAAAGAGAAGATTTGCATGTAGACGCTTGTAGACGCTACTTAAGTTATTGCTCTCTCACGCAGCTTTTTGCGTTGACCGGGTGAATGACCGAGTTGTGTGCGGTTGTGCAACACACCATCACCAACACGCGGCCAACCACACCGCACCTACGTTATCTCTCCGGACTCCGCGCGCACAAAACTCGGAGTACCCGACGGCCGACGCGATGACCGAGATGTGGTCGAGATATGGCATACACATGGGTAGCTACATACACGGTAGGGTACACGTGCCTAGACACGTGCGCCCTCCAGCCTCTCCTGTCTCCACGCAGACTCCACCGTGGCACCAACTCCAGCGGAGGGAAAATGAGTGCATCGCGTCCCGGGCGTGACCCCCGATGTGGCGACGTGAGCAGCCTTGTGATCATCTGTGGGTCGTGCAGCGTGCACACAGCCACACGACGTTGTCACGCGACACCCGTGCGCGCATATCGCGTACATCGGATGCTCGTTGCGTGGCTGCGGTGCATTGGCAGCTCGTCCGGCTCGAGTCCAATCGCCTCGAGCTCCTCGCGCACAATCCGGTACATCGCCTGGTTTCCCTCGCCATTGAAGTGAAGTCCGCCCTCCATGTGTCTCCCGTCCCCTTGAGCTTGCCGTGCACGTCGAGAAGCCGGGCCCCACTCGCCCTGGCCACCTCCTTGACCGCCTCGACCATAGGAGCGATTCGCTCCTCGCCGCGGCCCGACCCATTGGCCTGCATCTTTGTCGCCTTCGTGAAGTAGGTGTAAACCTGCGTGCCATCGCACGGCGGAGGCGTGCATAGTAGCACAGTTGCACACGGATAGCGATCACGAAGCAGAGCGACGATCTTCCGCAGGTTCAGTCCATACTCCTCCGGCGGCACATGCAAAGGGTCGCTACTCTTGACGTGGTCGTTGGAGCCGAGCATCACAGTGATGGCTTTGGGTGCCTTAGGGAGCGAAAGCAGTCCCGCCTTGAGGTCTGCGAGGATCCACTTTGTAGTGTATCCGCCAAACCCGCGGTTAATGACGTCAAGAGAGCGGGAGATTCCATAGTCTCGCGCGAGTAGCGCCGTCCACCCGGGACCATGCTGCTCGAGGATCGACCCCGGTGGCATGCTGCCCCCGCCAAGCATGCAACCTAGCTCAGCGATCGAGTCACCGATACACAATAGACACGGCTTTTCGCACTCACCAAGCGCGGGAGCTGTGCCGGTGGCAACCGGCGTTGGTTCATGGCCGCCCGATTCGAAGTACCTGCGCAGCCGCTCCTCATCCCAGCCGAAACACTCTGGCGGCGGAGAGATGTCATCGCAATGGTACTCGTCGCACAGCTCGTCGATTAGCTGCTTCTGGAGGGACTGCAGCTTTTCGTACGTCGAGGGCATCGCTCATGACCCTGCACCAGACCCTGCACCAAGTTGCGTTCGTTCCGGTCCGGCCCACATAGGTTGATAGGAAACAAGCCGAAAGAGTGCCGCGAGTGGAGCGAGAGGCTCGAGGCGCGCGGCTGTCGGTCAACCCTGCGGCGCATGCGCGCCGCCAAGGCTGCTCGACAGGCGACTGGCATTGTGGCGACGCGGTCGCCGTTACTCCAACTTTGCTTTGCCGATCAAAAGCGCCCGTCCTTTGCTTTTTAGCCGCTGAAATTTAGCTTGCTGGTTTTCTTATAGGCGTCTGCGACTTCCAAGCTGCGTATTCTTGTATTATCGTCGAGTAGTACAAGTACTCTCTGCGTGGGGGCGGTACGTATTCTCGTAACATGTGCGTATTCTCGTATCACTGGCTCCGAGTAGAAAAAGAAAGAAAACAGCGTCGAGTGTTTACTAGCTCCGAGTAGAGGGGGCGTTCTGCTGCTAGGGGAAACCTGGAGCGCGGAGCTAACCCTCGGAGACCCGTGTTTACTTTAAGGCCCTTGCCCTGCGAACGCGCACCCCCGGGGCTAGGGCTCTCTAGCCCGTAACCCGATACCGATCATCCGGCCCGCTGGATGCGCTTCTCAGCTCACCGGCCCTGGATGTGAGGTTGCCGACTGCACTCCAAGTGCTCCAAGTTTTACGACAAAACTCCCTCGCACGACAAGAATTTTACAACCGAATTCTTGGAGGTACCTCCTAAAGCCCTGAAACATCAAATGTGCCGTGCCTAGACCGCTAACTCGAGCGAGCCCAGGCAGCGCCGGGACGCTCCTTCCTTCCTCTCCACCGTGATTGATGCTCCTCGCTATCAGTCGTCTCGCATTGCCGGTACGCGGGCCTGGCTGCTCTCTCTCTCCCCCCCCCTGCCCATCGAGACTGAGCGCCCGGTGAGCACGGGCTGCGGCGCGACCCTTGCCGTCCCCGCGCACGCAGGTCACCATGGCTGCATCAGAGCTGCTTTGTCGTGCGCACTCGAGCAGCGCGCAACGGTCGCGCCCACCTGTCACCTCGCCTCGCCGGCTGCATCCCGCTCGCGGAGGTCGCCACCATCCCTGGGTCACCGCCACTGCTGTCCCTGCCGCCGCTGTCGCCTTCGATCCGGTTCGTTCCCGCCGCCCGGCCTGATCCGCGGCGTGCAACGCCCCCCACGCACAAACACGGGCACACACCTCGGCATCGCCGACCCCCCAGCCCCCTGCCGCCGCCGCCGCCGTCCCTGCCGCCCCCGCTTCCGCCCACTTTCTTTACTGCCGACCAAGCTTGAGGCAGCAAAGGCACGCAGACAGAACTCTGAGAACGTCGCCATCGTGTAGCAGGCAGGCCCGGCTAGCCGCGTGTTGGGGAGTAGTGTTTGTTGTGTGTGGTGTACTCTCTCTCCACTCAGTGTATATAGTGAATGAGCAGCGCACGATAAAAAACAACTGCTGAAAAGCCTCCACAAGCCCTGGGAGCCCTCCCCCTACTGTTTTACAAAAAAGCTCCCTCGTACGACACTGGCCACGGGACTGGCACGAAAGGAAACAAGAAAGACCGGATCCAAGTGTCGGATTCTACTCCAAAAGTGCATACGCGACGTCAAGTCCGCTTTTCTCCCACCGCGTACCCGGGTAGTGTAGTCTGTAGATCTACGGCTTTACCGAGTACCGTCTGGGCGACCGTCCGCCTCCTGGCCTTGCACCTTGCAGCAATCAATCTAACTGCTCCCATATGTCTTACCTCCGCTCACGCCCCATCGTCTGACTGAGGACCTCCACAAACTCTCTTTGCTTGTCGGATAGACGACACGCACCTCTCTCCCCAGAGCACCGGACGGGAAGCGGAACCAACCCGCATCACAACCAGTTCTCATGAGTCACATTTCCTCTCTCGACTCAACGCTGCCTCGGCTACTCGGTTGAACTCTCAGGGGCTGACAGCTAACGCGTTGCCATCTTCGATCCTGCTCCGCGGTCGTTCGTGTCCGATGCAACAGCGCGGCGGCCGCAGCGCTAGCCGTGAGCAGGGCAAGGCCCGTCGCCACTGCTATGGAGGGCGCGAGCGGCTGGATGTGCGACAGCAGCCCGGGCGGCGGAGGCGACGGCGACGGTGGACGTGGCGGTGGCGGCAAAGGCGGTGGTGGCGGCGGCGGAAGTGGCGGCAACGGTGGTCCCGGTGGGGATGGCGGTGGCACAAGGCAGTTGAGGTAGCTCTTGGATGAGTCGCACCCGCACAAGCGCTCCTCGACAACGGCGTCGTCGATAAAGGCCGGGGCATAGCGCTTCGCGGGCACGCCGGCTCGCAGCTCGACGTGAGAGGGCGGGCACGCTTCCTCCCAACGACTGCGTCCCGAGGGCAGATCCGCGCCGCGGCAGTCCATCAGCTCGAACGAAAAGCCGCCGAAGGACCGCGTGAGCTGTATCGTATCGTACCCGTTCGCGCGCGCTTCCCAGCAGCTCGGGTACTCATCCTGTGGTGGAGGGCCGCGGTGCACGAGTGTCCGTCCCGTGTTGAGCCATACTCCGCTCCCCATTGCAAGCCAGAACCACACCTGCCCAACGGCGCTGACATCCCGGTCGCCCCACTTGTTGACGATTCGAGAGATGCGAAACACCTCCACCCATGTGTGACTGGGCACGCCGTCGTCATAGTGCCGCGCGTTGTAGCCCCGACCGACGCCAAAGTGGCCGCCGGTGACGCCCGACGAGTTGTGGTTGGGGTCAAAGGAGCGCCTGTGCACCATGAAGCCCGGAAAGAGGAGCTTCGCGGGATCCAATAGCTGCTGGGACATGCGAAAGACGTCGCACGGCCCGGATGCGGCGGACCGCAGCGCCCGCTGGAGCGCCATTTCGGATCCGAGTACCTCGCGCTGCGCCGAAGGCAGCTCACCCCATGGCACCCCTTCCGGGTACCGTTCAAGCAGCCGCGCCGCGATCGCCACGTCTCGGCACTCTTTAGGCGCCTTGTGGGAAGGCCACATCTGCAGGCCGAGCTTCGCATCAAACAGCGACGCGTACAGGGGCGCCTGCGTGTGACAAGCATCGTAGTACACTCCGCTGGCAGCATTCTCGCTAGTCCAGCCGGCGACGCACTGCCAGGTGGCAGCAAAGCCGGCGCGCCCGGGCACGCTGTCCCAAAAAAAGTTGAGCTGCTCGAGGGCGATGCTTTCCGGCGGGATACTCTGCCCGTAGACGCTCATGAGGTAGCCGCACACCTCTGGTGCAGCACACGTCCCACCCGCCTGCGTCTGCTGCAGCCAGGCGATCTGGTCTTCCTCAGCGCGCCGGAACTCGGAGCACCAATCGCCGCGGTTGCCCTTGCCAATGAACTCGGAGCAGCTGCCGTCCACTCCACCCACCCAGCTGAAGCCGTGCGGATCGAGGCGCATGCCTCCAGGTTTCCGCGATGGCGCGCGGAAGCGCCCGTCGATGCCCGCCGACAAGCCAAGTCCTTTGGTTGTCTCAGACTTCTACCAACAGTTGTACAGATATGGACATGCACGCGAACGCGTGCGGGTCTCAGCTGACCGATTCAATTTATTTGCTCTGCTGGTGCTACTTCTCGCTCGTGCGTCCTTCGTTGGAAGTTGTGCTCGCGGCCTTCACCTATACGAACGAGCTCGAACGTATGCCACGTCGCCCCGCCGACTTCTTTCTTTTTGTTTCTATATTACTCATCGCCGCGAATGGTTGGGCAGGTTACTCAGGACACGATCCCGGCGTGAACACAACTAAGTACTAACTGACGATCTGCTCCTAGGTAGGTAGGTAGGTAGGAAGGTGAAGAACAGTCAGGCTCGGACTGGACACCAACGCGGCGTATGGGTGGACGCGAGACAGATGATGACGACACGCTGCTCCTGACAGTGGCATGCACCGCGCTGCGGCGCGTGCCACTGTCTTTGTTTTTGAAGTTAAAAGTCGAATCAGAGCGGTGTCGGCGTTGTCCTGAGTTTTCTCCGCCGGACCGCGCCCGTCTGGTCCGCCTCCGGGAAGCACCTCATAATGATTAATGTGCAGCACATCACAAGCTGCTGTACGGCCCGCCTCCCCTGGCTTAGCTAGACTGAGAGATATTGTGCACATGGTTGCTTGGTCCCTAAAATGCCTAAACAGTACGGGGTGTGGACCGTGAGTTGCACAGGGGTTGTGCGCCGGGCCCTTCCTGCTCGGCTCCAGCCAGTAGACAAGTCTTGTCATCAACAGAGTAGACGGATCTGACCTCGGGGCCGATGTGACCAAGCGCTGGTAGCGTGGTTTAACCTCACACCCATGGTCTCACAGTGTGCCGGCAGTCGCCGAGCAGTGTCGCTCACACAAGCCGCAGCACAAGTGACTGAGGGCCAGTGAGGGCGAGCCCATCGCTGTCACAGCTGTGGCAGCCGCACAGTAGACTGTGTCAACTGTGCAGAGCGTGTGAGCAGCAGAGGAGCTGCTCTCCAGGCTTCAGGCGCAAAGAGCTGCATGCCACCGCGAAGGCGCTGTCGAGGTTCGCCGAGCGCGGCGCAGTCGGGGGGGAAGCCGCCACCGACGAGCGCGTTGGAGTATTCACTCCGGACAAAGACGGGCACACAGCGGACGGTGCGGGGCGTGTGCCCGTCATAGTGGCGAGGCGCGGAACCGTCTGTGACGAGGTGGGTCGCGTCCCCCGATTTCCGTCAACTCACGGCTGAGCCTTGGTCTGTTTCCCGGTCTGAGAGACAGCCTGACAGCAACCCCCGGACACGCGGACAGCGCCTGACAGCGCCCGACAGCCTGACAGCGCTGACAGCACTTTCTCCGACAGCCTGACAGCACGTATCTGATTGCCTCCTGACAGCAGAGTCTGACATCAGAGGTGCTCCGTTGCTGTCAGGCCCTGACGTGACAGCCCGACAGCTGCCCGACAGCCCGACAGCACACAGTGGCCTGACAGCAGCGCTGACAGCCCGACACAGCCCGACCAGCCCGACAGCAGCACAGACCGTACACAGGCCGTGCAGCCTCTTTCTTGTGCCCCATGAGTGTATAACACACGTGTCCTACCCACATATACAACTCTGACACGTGACACGTCACGCCTCCCAGAGCTCGTCCTGGACCTGCACCTGGTCACCTGGTGTCCGTCACGGCCATCCTTCCGGCCTCCGGAGGGCCCACCCGGGGCCGCGGGCGCGGCGCGCGCGGTGCGGCGGAGTCACAAATCCGATCGACGGCAGAGCGCACCGGGACGCGGTCGGGCGATCTATCACACTTCAGGTCCACCTCTATAGCGTCCAGGGTGGGGCGTGTGTATTTTGCTCATCCCTCATCCGGGGCTATCAGTGCGGCTAGGCCTATATATCAACAGGCGCCTCTACGGCGCCGTGGTCACGGGAGGTGTTATTCACACCTGCAACCATTCGTGCAGCACATCGACTAGTAGTACGGCGGTACTTTGCCGTGTACATCGCATGTGCATGTAGAGTTCGCTGGCCGGGGCTGGTCTCCTGGTGAGTGTTCGCTATATGTGTGAGCGCGAGCTGTCTCGCTCCACACGCCGGCGCGCTTCTATCTCCAATTCACTCTGTGGCTCCCTCCCGCCTCGCCCGCCAGCCCCACGTCCGCAGGTCCCACCACCTGCCCCGCGCCTCCCGCTTGCCGCCGCCCGCCCGGACGACGGAGCTGCGCAGCTGGTCCACGATCCGCTGCGTGGTGACGCTCTCCGCGTGCGTCCACTCCTCGGCCTCGAGCCTGCCCTCGCGCAGCGCCCGGTTGACCGCGGCCGCCTCGTACACAAAGCCTTGCGAGCCGGGGTAGTTGAAGGGGAGCGCGCCTGTCGACAGCTCCGCCCGTCACGAGACGCCGCTCGTAGCCCTGCCGAGCCGGGGCAGCGCAAAGGGCGCGTCGCGCCCGCGGGGACGGGCGGTAGTGCGAACTCGAGCGTCTCATCGGTCGACGCTTCTCGTCCTTCCGCGATGGAGAGAGTGAGCCTGCTCGGCGTGTGCGCAGGCCGGTGCAGCCGCAGCGTCCCTTTCTTGCCGGTGTAGACGACCTCCTCGGGCGTCGAAGCGTCGAGCGTGCAGAGCACGGTGGCGGACAGGGCGGGACGGTCGCCGAACCCGCTCAGCCCGGCCGCCACCGACCAGTCCACCCGCCCGCCGCCCGCCGCCGGCCTGGTGCTGCCCGTCGCGACGACGCTCGCGGGCGGCGTAGCGCCCGCCGCAAGCAGCACGTGAGCCACCTGCCATTGCAGGGCGACGCTCAGCAGCGCGGAGCGCACTTCCCCAGCGCCAGCGGCGGGTGCTCGCCGGGTACATCGCCACGTCCATGCCCACACCGCCCGAGACCGGGTCCACCGTCCGCCCGTGCTCGCCGTCCGGGTCAGCTGGCCTAACGTCGCGCACACCTGCTCTCTCAGACGCTGCAGCCGCGCTCCGGCCGGCTGCACCGCCGCCGCGACACCAGCCAAAGTCAGCGCTCACCGCGACAACCTCGCCGATGGCGCCCGCCTACAGCAGCCCAGTCCAGCCCTCACCGGCCCTGTGTGCGCGCCCCGTCTCGCCGATGCCGCCCTCTCCTCCAGCAGCTCACGCGCCTTGACCACTGCCGGGAAGAAGCGGGTCCACATGCCTTCGAGCAGGAAGAGGCCGCGCGACTTGGCCAAGGCGACCAGTTCGGCCGCCTCCTCTCCGTTCATCGCCAGCGGCTTCTCGACGAGCACCGGCTTGCCCGCGGCCAGCGCGATCCGCGCGCAGTCTGCATGTGTTTGGGCGACTGTGCCCACGTACACCACGTCCACATCCGGGTCGTTTGCGAGCGCCTCGTACCCCGCGTGCGCCTTGGGAACGCCGAGCGACGTCGCGAAGGCCTGCGCCGCCTCGAGCGACCGCGCTCCGACGGCGATGACCTTTGCCTCATCTGCAGGCAGCGCCTTCAGCGCGCCAACAAAGTCAGAAGAGATGAGGCCGGAGCCCATGATGCCCCAGCGGATGGGACGCCCCGCTGCGCACGCCGCGTCGTCGTTGCTCGCGGCGACGAGGAGGAGTGAGAGCAACATACACACACACACACACACACGTGTGTGACCTAGACTATAGTCGAGCGCGGCGGAGAGGTGTTTCGACACGAAATGTTTCGCCTTGTCTGTCGTACAGCGGGACCAGACCGTTTTGAGTAACCGGCGATCGCCGGTGGGACCTCTTTCCACCCAAGAAGCCCGTTTGGAGGGATGGGCGGCAGTGTGCGGGCGGTGAGTGCTAGTCCTCTCATCAATTTTAGAACGAAACGCCCCTCCCTCCCTTCTTCCCTCTACTAGCTGAGGGGCTCGCTAAACGCTCGCCGAGCTCCATGCTGTGCAACACCACCTCCTCACTAATCGTCAGGGGCGCGGAGAGCGCAGTGCACTACGGTGAGGCTGCGCAGCGGGGGCTCGCCCCCTGCACCGCGCTCAGCGGCGTAGGGGAGAGGGCGGTCGGTGGCGGCGGCGGCGAGGCGCGAGGCGGTGGCGGCGGTGGTGCGGGCGGCGGGATGACAGGGGAGGCGGCGGGATTGACAGGGGAGGCGGCGGCCACGAGCGGAGCGGCGCGAGAAGGGGGGGGGGCGGCGGCGAGGCGCCGGTGAGCGAGGCGCCCGCGCCATCAGAGGGACGCGCCGCTGCGAGATGGAGGGCGGCGGTGACGGAGGCGAGGCGCGAGGCGGCGGCGGCGGCGGCGGCGGCGGCGGCGGGTCTCGGTGAGCGGCGGCGGGAGGAGGAGCAGCGGCGGTGGGAGGAGGAGCAGCGGCGGCGCTCGCTCGCTGTTGACGGGAGCGCTTTTGAGCCTGGGATCCCATGCCACTGCGACCGGCGTGCCCGGGAACGGAGATCGCGCGCGCGCCGCCACTCACGACGCGCGCGCGATCTTCGCGGAGTCGGGTCCCCAGAGGGAAGCGGTCTTCTCGGCCGACGTCCAGCGGCGCGCAAGGAAGCAGGCGCAGCGGAGGCGGCCTAGCACCGGCTCGGCGCCGGGCGGTTGCGCTGCCCGCGAGCCGCGTCCTGAGCCTCGGCAGCGCGCTGCGCGGCGCGGCGCTCGCGCTGCTTCTGTGCCGAGAGCGGCATGATGACCACAGCTGAAGCTCCAGACTCCTCGGGTCCGCGAATTCCGCACGTCACGATTTGCGTTGCGGGGAAATTGGCGTAAGCGTCTGAAAGCAGTCTTGGGTGGTCCCGTGCGGGAAACGTCGCAAATCTAAGAAACCACTGCAGCGCAGGCGCGGCCCCGAGAAAAGGCCAGACACGAGTGTGGAAACGGGAGCCTCAGCCCAAAATTTCTGCCTGCGGCGCGCGCATTTGTCACTATCCAAGTCTGCGGTGTTCTGAGTGGAGTGCGAGTGGATGGAGGTGTGTGTGCGTCTCCCGTCATCCAGAGAGAGAGCCGACTCGGCGGCAGACTCTGAATAAAAATCTCTCTCAGACTCTGGCAGGTTGGGCTCAACGAGGTTTTCCGGAAAACAAAAAGGAAAACAGAGGGTCCCCAGCACTTTGCGTTTCCGAAAATTTCCAGGGAAAACAGAGGGTGTTTGGTGCTCCATTCTGGAAACTCGCGAGTTTCCCTGAGTCTGAGAGCTGGTCTGGGGCAAAATCTGAGGCAAAATTGAGGAAATCGACAAAATACCCAGGCGGTCGCAGGGTAATTTCCAGGTATACACGGGTTCTCCGCGAACTTCCCGGCATTTTGCCGATTTGGCCTAAAATTTGGCTGATTTTGGTATAAATCTCTCTCTCTGATTTTGGGCCCAAACCAGCCTCAGACTCGGCTCAGAGCCAAAAATTTGACGATTTCCACGGAGTTTTCCCGGGAAAATAGAGAGGAAAAGAGAGGGTGCTGTAGAGAAAAAAGGAAAGGAAAACAGACGGGGTGCGAGAGGCAAACCTCGTTGAGCCCAACCTCGCGGACCGCAGCTTACCTCTTACTTACCTAAAAATCCTTCGGGCCGGCTCTGGCTCTCTAGGTGTGAGTGTTAGAGTTGTTTGGCTTGAGTGCCGGCCGGAGCTAAGAAACCACGGCGTCAGGTGGGTGAGGGCTGTGGAAAGGCTTAGAAAAAAGAAAGAAAGAAAACGGACAACCCAAGGGAGGGAGGGATGGGAGGAGGAGGACGGCACGCCGCCACCACACAGGGATTTTAAGGAGAGGGGTGTGGTGCGCTAGCCGTCGCCCACCCTTGGGCGTCCGCCTCTTCCTATCTCTCAAAGGCTTAGAAACGGCAGCGTGCCGACCTCCTGTTTTCTTAGTGCGCGCCAGTCCCGTGCCCAGTGTTGTGCGAGGGAGTTTTGTTGTAAAATTCTTAAGGCAATAAGAGGGCTCCCGCGGCGATCAACACCGCAACTCCTTTTCTAAATTTCACCACGCTTCTTACGCGCGACGACGCTACAGCCTCCATCCACCAAACCTCACACTTTTACTCACCCTCGGACATGCTTGCACCGTCATCCTGCGCGTCTGATGCGTCGCGCATCTGCTCGTCACCCTCTCCGTCACTCGCGTCGGCGGGCGACCGGGCTGTGGGTGCGGCCTGCTTCTTTCTTGCGCTCGCGGCGCCGGCGCCACGGCGCCGTTTGCGTCCGTCCTTTGCGCTTCGCTTGGCAAGCTCGCCCGCAAAGTACGCCGAGTACGCAAGGCGCACCTTTTTGTTTTGAAGACCTCGATACTTAGCGCACTGCTCGGGCGAGAGCTCAAACACGTGCCGCGTCTCGTCTTCGCCGCCGGCTACGCGCACAGACACAGTGCGCGGCAGCGCCGACACGTCAACCCGCGTGTACGTCAGCGACGGGTCCCGCACGCCGCACGAGGCGCATGCGTGCAGCGGCAGCGCGTGCGCCATGCGCTCGTCGCTCCACTCGCCCAGCAGCCGCCGCTTCGTCTCGTCGGAGACGTGCACGCAGCGCTGCAGCAGCGCCGCCGTCTCGTCCTCGGGCCGCTCCAGGTCCATGACGACGTTCGTCGAGGCGTGGAAGCGCGTCTCCAGGTCGATGGCCGCCTGCTCGGCCGCGGCGAGCTTGCCCTGGTCGACGCACATGCCGCACACCGCGTGCGCCGGGCAGCCGCACTGGCCGCGTTGTGGGCGCACGGTCTTGGCGACCGCCGGCGCTGCGCGCCGGTCGTGCTGCTCACGCTGCCGGCGGCGCTGGTCGCGCGCCTGCCGATCGCGCGTGTTCGCGGCGGCTGCATCTCTTGCTCGTTTCGCTCGCACCCGAGCGGCTGTCGCCAGGCGCTTCAGGTCGGCGGTGCTGCGCGCGCGGCCGTCGGCCAGGCACAGCCACATGTCCTCCTCCTTAGCAGGCTCGCACGGCTTGCCGTCGAACTGCGGCTGGCGCCCGCGACGATGCTTCGCCCAGGCCGGGCACGATGGTGCCGCGACGAGCGGCGTCGAGGCGACGGCCATCGATGGGTCCAGAAGACTTGGAGACACTTCTACCAAAAAATCGAGCACAATTGCGTTACATGGGCATGGCCGGGGTTTCTGCACCGAACGATCTTACTTTCGGTCTATCGAAAGTGTTCGTCGATAAAATTCTTAATGCCCGCCGCCGCACGCACCCCACCGAGTAGCAGGGAGACCAGCGCAAAGAACACGACTTGCCGAGGTCGGCGTCGGCGTGAAGAGCCGCGCGGCATGTCACAGTGGAGCCTCGAGGGTGACAGCACGCTCGCGGGTGGTGAGAGCAGGCTCGTTCTCCCGTGCACGGAGGGTGCCGCCAGCGCTTTCGACCTCGGACGCGGGCGACTGTTTGCTGCTTACGGCAAGGTATTCGCGCACAGCACTGTCAGTCGCGTCCAGTGCAGTCTCTCCGTGGAGGCGGGATCCCTTCGCGTGGAGTCGCGGGGTCAGAACCCGACTGGCATACGTCCGGCTGGCGGCGCGTGGAGGCTGCTCGCACAGCAGCAGCACAGCTTGCTCAATGATGGCGACGAGCTGGCGCTCGACAAGATGCGCAAGCCGGGCACGGTGTTCACCGTGCGCAAACGCCCTCGCGAGGCCGCCGTGGCCGCGCCGCCCACGCCAGCGGCGGCAGCGCCGTTTGCCGGTTTGCGTGTGATGTTCGGACTGCGCAGTGCGAGGCAGGCGGAGATTCAGGCGGGCGCGATCGTGCGGCACGGCGGCGTGGTGGTCGCTGCGGACGGCGACGCGGCAGCGGCGACACACCTCGTCCTCGACCATGCGCGCGACGCAGCGACGCACCCCGCGCTCGCCGCGCTGCCCGCCTCATCGTGGCCGCGGCTGCACACCGAGGAGTGGGCGCCGCACCGCAGCAGTGCCGTACACAGCGGTGGCGCGGCGCCCGACGAGCACGACGTCCACCCGGCACAGCGGCTGCGCGACGCGGCGGCGGCACCGCCGCCGCCCGCGCCGCCCACGCGATTCGCTGTGGGCACAGCGTGGCTCAACTTGCTGCACGGCGAGGCGCCGTCGGGGCGGCACGTGACGTACTCGGAGCTCAAGCCGGACGGGTGCGTCGCCGCCCTCTTCACCTCTTTATTTCCAGATCGTGCTTACGACTGGCTGCGGAGCAACTCTGCCGAGATCGGCGACGTTCTGATCATAGCCGACCGCTGCCCAAAGCTCGACGGCAACCCTCCGCCGACGCTGCGAGAGCGCGACCCCGGCTGGCTGCTGCTCGAGGGGCAGCGCACGAGCGGCATCGTGCACTGCTCACTGCTCCTCTTCCGCACGCCCACTTCCCTCCGCGTCGCGCTCGGCGGCACGAACCTCGATGGGCAGATCCACCTGGTTGCGCAGCCTCGCGAGGAGAAGTCGTGTGGCTGCCTGCCGAGAGGTATATGATCGCTTGTATGTAGGACCGCGATTCACTATTCATCCAGGACTTTCCTCTCCGCCCCGGCGCCAAGCCGTCCGACGTGCCGCACTTTGGCGGCCGGCTGCAGACTTTCCTCGAGTATCTTTCGGGCGTGTACAAGGGCTTGCCGCTGTGCGACGTGGACACCGTTCGCCGCAAGGGCGCTGCGCTGCTAGCCGACGTGGACTTCGCCTCCGCGCGCATGTCGGCGCTGGTGACGTGCATGCCAGGCGGGCCCGCGGGCCAGAACAAGGGCGGCTGGCTGGAGCTTCGGGACGGACTGAGGCAAATGGGCGCTCCGCGGCTGGGACGCGACGGCCGCATCGAAGTCGCCGCCGGCCACTTCGGCACGAACCAGCCCGAGTTCGTCGCGCAGATGTCGCGCACGCTGCGGCGGGAGGAGGGGCCACCGGCGCGCGACGCGATGGACGACGTGGGGCGCGTGTTCATGTATCATTCGTCGCGACGAACTGTGCTGGCGGCCGGCTCCAACTGCCTCGCGGTGTTCCGGACGACCGCGCCGGGGAAGCAGACGCATGAGCGACTGCTCAACGAGCACTTCTTCGACGCGATCCCCAAGTTTGACCCCGTCCGCCCGCCGCCGCCGCCGACCCTGCAGGGCTTGCCACCGAGTCTGCAGCCAGCTCTGACGCCCATCCTGCACGGCAAGGCGATGCTGGCGACGTCGGCGGACGGCACGCGCGGCGTGATGTTCGTCGGCTCGCAGAACTTTGGTCAGACAGCTTGGGGGTTCGGCAACTCGCAGCCTGGAGCCGTGGAAATTGGCGTGGTGCTGCAGGCGAACAGTGCCGCTGAAGTTGCGGCGCTGCGCGCGCGCTTCCCCGTCGAGCTCGCGCCAGACGACGATTTCGGCAGGACGAGGGAGGAGCGTGGCTACGTCATTGCGCGCGGACCAACCAACGGCATCAACTCCGGGCCGGACAGCCTGCAGATGCAATGGCGGTCGCGCTGCAACGATCTGGCGCAGCTCGAGCCGTGTCGCGAAATGCTGCGAGAGTGGTGGAATATGAACGGGGACGAGCGCGGACCTGGCCAGATGCCCAACGGGGATACATGACACACATGCACATGCACATGCACATGCACATGCACATGTGCACATGCACATGCATGTCATGTCATGTGCATGTCCATGTGCAAGTACGTACGCGCTTGCTCACAGGGCCTGGGGCTCTGTGACCTCATACACTCAACGCTTGGTCCGTGGTCCTCTTTGTACACACTAAAAATGAAAAGACAATTATACATACCTCTATTGTTTGGCTGCGCGCAGGCGCGCAGAGCTCTGAGCTCTGTGCTCTCTCCGTGGAACCTCATCAACTCAAAGCAGCTCAACCAACTGGAACAGGAGACAGATAGAGAGGAAAGCGAGAAAGCGTGTGAGAGAATTCTCGTGGGTGCGCTGAAGAGCGCGGGAGGATGGGATGGATGTGTAGTTGCCCGACCCAACGAGCGCGAGATGAGAGACCCGGCGGGCAATTCCACGCGAAATGGCGCGTGGAGGTGCGATGGGTGAGGCGCGGCTCAGGGAGCCATGCCGGCCGGGAGAGAGCCGGGAACCAAACCTCACGCGGCCGGGAACCAAATCTCATGCGGTGGCCGAGAAGAGGTCGCTCAGCTGCATCTCCTGGCCACCGCGCAGCGTGTACCGGCCCGCGGCGGGCTGCATCAAGCCCTCAATCAGAACAGCGGGCGGGAGCGCGCCTTCCGGCTCCGCCCCGCGCGTCGTGGCAAAATGGCTCGCCAGCGCCTCGGCCACACCCGGGGCGAGCTCAGCACCGAGCTCCGCACGGGCACACCTACAACAAATGGTAGGTACCATCGCCATTAGCGACTCGGACACGCGCTGTCACGAAATGGCGGCGAGGCGGACCGTGCGAACCGCTCGGCGAGCTGCTGGGGCGTCAGGTCGGGCAGTGCCAGCGTGACGGGGCAAGCCGCACGGAGCGCCGGCGTGGTGCGAAACAGCGACATAAGCTCACCAGACGTTCCGAGCAGCACGACCCCTGACTTTACTTATGGGAAACCAAAAAGAAATCACTGATGGGTGAAGGTGGGGTATACTCTACCAACAAAGTGATGGCTGGTGGTACTCTCCTGCAACCACAGTCCTTCCTGTGACATGGCAGGCCACTCTCAAGCCCTACAAGCACCAGATCACACAACTTGGGTCTTGGGGAGGGTTGACATCGTGATTTCCGCGAAAAAAATCTTTTTCTGCTGTGAAAATTCCGGCGTGAAGAGCTGAGCTTCACCAGCCGTTTCTCTTCCTTCCCCCTGCCTTCTCTTGCCGTCCGTTCTCTGTGCGCATTCCACTGCATGCGGCATCACAAGCGTCTTCTGCCGGGCGCGCATCTGAATGAACTCGTACCTGGTAGGCCATCGCTTTGCTGAAAGATCAGGCGCCTGAATGGCGACAGTGAGCGTCTCCTACTTATGGATTGCGCTCGAGGTACGAGGAGCGCAAGAGCGCGCCGCAGGCAAAGCGATTTTGGCGCGGCAGGGCTGTTCCGGTTTATCTTTCTTTTTTTGCTCACGCGCGAGCCTGTGAATAGGCCCCGGAAACCCCCAACTAAAGGGTTGACGGGAGGTCTCAACCGTCAACCAGATGGTTGAGGGGGGGCCTCAACCCTCAACCCCTCAACCACCCCTGTGGGCTGACTGAGGGCCCAGCAGGAGAATCGTGCTTTTTGGGTTGGGTTGGGTTGTCGGCACGGGTTGGGTTGGTGAGTTGGGTTGTCCACCCAACCGACCGCGTGAGATAGGGTGCTGACCTTTCTCGCCGAGGCTCGCCATGGCCCCACACGGCGGCCTCTGCTCGCGTTTCGAGCCAGGACCTTCGTCCGGGCCCACGGCCGGCACGCCCTCGTGACTCCGCGCGCTCGGCCTCCACCGGCTTGCTGTGCGGACGCCTTCTTGTGGCTCTCGTCGAGAGCGTTTTGGCGGCCTGGCGGGTGGGAGAATATGTGTCGCGTCTGATGTGTCACTGTGTGCGTCACATCGGTCTTGATAACAAGCACGGTCGATCCGTCGAAGCGATACACTCGTTCCTATCACGTTGGACGGCTTGCACGGAACTCTGTGCCTGCACACAGGAAGAGCCGCGCTGCAAGAAGAGCTCGATGGGGAGTGAGAAGCGTCAGTCAGAAGAGCTTAGGGGTAACCTTAAGTCCGTCGTGACGCTCTTATTTCCCCCCAGGTTTGACCGCGCAGCTTTCAAAACTCGACGATATCTTCCGGAAAGACTGAACTTCCCGCAGGCGCCGCGGCAGCATGAGAGGCGCAGAGAGGCTGCGAGTGCACGACAAGTCTTGCGAGCTGCGCGGTCAAAACTGGGATGGGGGGAACTGAGACTCCTGGGGTCTGGTGACCGAGAATCAGAATCTGGCCATCAGCGCGGCCAAGGGCAGCGGCATCAAGGTCGTCAACGTCGGGGCTGAGGACATCATCGAGGGCCAGCCGCACCTCATCCTAGGGCTCGTCTGGCAGATGGTCAATCAAGCAAGATGGCGCTCCTCTCGAAGAAAGATCAACCTGCGCTCACGTTCCTCATCAGGCTCGCCTCCCTGTCTCGCCAATCTCCCAGTTCCCGACGCGGACGGCAACCTGCTCCTCCCGATGCGCTCCTACTACTCCAGTTCTGTTCATGCGCGCGACAGGGTTTTTGTTTTCTTGTTCCTATAGCAGCGGCCTTGCCGGCATTTGCAATCGCTTCCCGGCCGCCCCATTCGCTTTTCGGCCGGAAATGGCCCAGCGCCGCGCTCGCTCGCTCACGGGATGTGTTGAGGCAGGTGCGAAGCACGGCCTCTCGTCCAATGCTTCGCAAGCTCTCTCGTCCGAGGACATTGACGTCTCAAAGCTTCGCAAGCTCTTCGCCTCGCTCGATACCGACGGCTCGGGCTCCATCACCGCGGGCGAGATGCGCTCCGCCCTGACCAAGATGGGCGCCGACCCCGCGGCGGCAGACGACGTCATTGAGGACAGCGACGCCAACGGAGACAACAAAGTCACCTTTGAGGAGTTTGCAAAAGCCGCGCAGCGGGGAGCCGAGATAGTGGCACTCGCCAAGAAGGTGCAGGGCTACGGCGGCGCAGACGCGAGGTCGGTCCATTCCTAGGAGGAGTGCAGCAGCACCGTGTCTCGGCAGCGAGGCTTTCTCTCTTGTCTGGATAGGTCGGTCCATTCCTACGCCGAGGAGGAGTGCAAGGCGTTTTCTGACTTCATCAACGCAAGGCTCGCCGACGACGAGAGCCTGTCCCACCTCCTGCCGATTGCGACGGCAGATGGCCTCTTCTCTGCCGTCTCCGACGGCATGCTGCTGTGCAGGCTGCTCAACGAGGCGGCGCCGGGCGCAATCGATGAGCGCGCCGTCAACCGTATCTCTCCATCCAAGCCGAGCCGCTTCCACGTGACCGAGAATCAGAATCTGGCCATCAGCGCGGCCAAGGGCAGCGGCATCAAGGTCGTCAACGTCGGGGCTGAGGACATCATCGAGGGCCAGCCGCACCTCATCCTAGGGCTCGTCTGGCAGATGGTCAAGATGGCGCTCCTCTCGAAGATCAACCTGCGCTCGAACCCGTTCCTCATCAGGCTCGCCTCCCTGTCTCGCCAATCTCCCAGTTCCCGACGCCGACCCGCACTTCTTCACTTGTCCTGCTTCGTACCCTCTCGTCCCTGTCTCGCCAATCTCCCAGTTCCCGACCCCGACCCGCACTTCTTCACTTGTCCTGCCTCGTACCCTCTCGTTCCCTCACGCCCTCGCCTCGAGCAGGCTGCTCCTCGAGGGCGAGACGCTCGAGGACCTGCTCAAGCTGCCGCCCGAGCAGCTGCTCATGCGCTGGGTCAACTACCACCTCGCTCAGTCGAGCTGCAGCCGCCGGCTCCGCAACTTTGGGTCCGACGTCGCCGACTCGGAGATCTATGCGCACCTGCTGCAGCAGATCGACCCCGGCAGGCGTGTGAGCGCTGCCGACGTGATGCGCCTCGGCGACAAGACCGCGCGCGCGCAGCAGGTTGTCTCCGCCGGCCGCCGACTCGGCTCCGACTTCAGCATCCGGCCCAAGGACATCGTGTCCGCCAACGAGAAGCTCAACCTCGCCTTTGTGGCGGGGCTCTTCAACGCGTGCCCTGCCCTGGAGCCGCTCGACGAGGAGGAGCTCAAGCTCTTTGACGAGTGCGTCACCCTCGCACCCACGCACGCGCACAGACCACAACTGACACCCGCACGGACCGGCACACGCCTACGCTAGGCCCGGCCCCGGCTCTCACCTCGCCGCCACACTCCACGCTCCAGGCTCGAAGACGACGACGTCGGCGACTCGCGCGAGGAGCGCGCCTTCCGCCTGTGGATCAACTCGCTGGGCATCGACGGCGTGTACGTGGACAACCTGTACGACGGCGTCCGCGACGGGCTCGTGCTGCTCTCGGTGATGGACCACGTGCAGCCTGGCGTCGTCGAGTGGTCCAAGGTGAGGGCCTGCCCGCTCTGTAGCGCACGGGGTGCCGTCTCGATCCCGTCCACTTCCCCTCGCGTGACAGGTGAACCGCAAGCCGGGGATGGTCTTCAAGCAGGTCGAGAATGTCAACTACGCCATCGCGATCGGCAAGGGCGAATTCAAGTTCTCCCTCGTCGGCGTCGCCGGCTCCGACATCGCAGTGGACGGCAGCAAGAAGCTCTCGCTCGCCCTCATCTGGCAGCTGATGCGCGCCCACCTCGTCTCCTTCCTCGCCACGCTCAAGAGCAAGACGCCCCGCTCGACCGACTCGGCGATGGTGCGGTGGGCCAACGAGACGGTCGAGGCCGCCGGCTACGCCTCGCGCATGAAGGACTTTGGCGACAAGAGCCTGGCCGACGGCCTGTTCCTGCTGGACCTGCTCACGGCGGTGGAGCGGCGCGCTTCCGGCCTTCGGGAGGCATGTGGCCAGGGCGGCGGCGCACTCTCACCGACCCGACGGCCCCCATAGGCGTTGCGTCAACCGCGACCTTCTCGCCGACGGCGCCACCGACGAGTCGCGGCTGCTCAACGCAAAGTGCGCAACACACACCTCCCACCTCACCGCCCCCGCCTCACCCCCCCCCGCCGAAGAGGCGTTCGATGGAGCTCACCCTCACCGCTCGCTGCCGCGCAGGTACGCGATCGCGTGCGCCCGCAAGCTGGGCTGTGCGCTCTTCTGCTTGCCCGAGGACCTCGTCGAGGTGCGCCCCAAGATGGTGATGTCATTCGTGGCTTCCGTGATGGCATTCGCGGGCGCGTGACGCCTTGTGCGACGCACTTGGCGCGCCCCGACTGTGAGAGAGCAGGGCGCAGGGGCGCACTCGAGACGACCCACAGTCCACCGCGTCCCCCAACCGCTGCGTAGAGACGCTCACCGGAGCCGCACACCGGCGAGAGAGAGAGCCGAGGCCGCACGGGACGGCCCCGCCCTTCGCAGAGAGTGATCCCTCAAATTCCACCTGTGCGATCTCGCGACCTCGCCGCGATCCGCCCGCTGCGCGCCGGCCTCGAGTGCTGAGAGGATTGTATATCTTTCACTGTTTAAAAAAACTCTGACATTTTACGAACTCCTTGGCGACGTGCGCGTCGCGTCGCCAAGGCTCTGCGACCTCGGTCGTACAATCAGCGACCTCGGTCGTACAATCGGCCGGCTGCGCGGGTTTTCGGCGAGTTTCCCGCGCACCGGCCACGAACTCGACTCGCACAGCAAAAAAATCCGGTGCTCGCGCGCCACTCCCACGCTTGACCACACACTCGCTGCACTGCTCAAAGCCAACCCTACCTCACTGGCCGCCTCCAACACTGTCCCGCGCGTCTCGCGCCCCAACTGACAACTCATCATTGTCCCCAACTCGACTCGCACAGCAAAAAAATCCGGTGCTCGCGCGCCGCTCCCACGCTTGACCACACACTCGCTGCACTGCTCAAAGCCAACCCTACCTCACTGGCCGCCTCCAACACTGTCCCGCGCGTCTCGCGCCCCAACTGACAACTCATCACTGTCCCTCGGACACCACTCTCCAGCCGCGCTACCTTCCCCCACCTACCGCTCTCGCACGACATCTCGACAATCCTCATATCTCCAGGCCCAAGACTCCTAACCACTGCCCCTGCTCGCCCAGGACCACGAAGCGCCGCCCGCGCGCCCATTGACCCCCCAATCAGCCCTCTTGCTGTCCCTCAATCGCCACCCGCCAGATGTACTTCCCTCGCCCACCCAATACTCTCACCCTCCTGACCCGGACAGTCCAGGTACAGGAAAAGCGGGGAGCGGGGCCCGATCCAAGGAGCACCCCGTCGGCCCGGGAGGGCTGTGAATTTCGGCGCGAGCGGAAGGCTGCCTGCAGACGCTCAGCCCCCGGCTGAGCTGCCGAATCCTCCCGGCTAATCCCCTGACCTGCCGCCTGAAACGGGACAACATTACACCACCTCACACACACTCCCCCCTCAAGGCTAAGCAGTGCGCAAGTCCACCCGAACTCTAGGCGAGGCATCGACCGCTCCTTTGGAATAGTGCCGTCAGTGGCTGCACTAGACGCCCATTAGATGGCGCGCGGCGCGGGCGGATGACTAGGGGAGAGAATGCGGAGAGACTAGCTCGCAGGTAGATGTGCTCAGCCAAGGGTAAGGGATGAGGGGAATGTGTCAGTGTGAGGGGTGCACCAACCGCAGAGCGTCGTGTTTTGCCTTTGAAAACTGAACAGTTTTTTTTTCACTGTTTCTGTTTCACAGAGGCATGTGTGCAAAACGTCACAGAGCAAATCAGACAACACTATGGTTCAACGCCCGCTTTACGTGCGCTCTTCACCTCTGTGCAACTCCCCAACAGCCTCTGCCCTCTCTGGGCGAGAGCGTCTCGCCTCTAGATTGCGGCGCCGGTACCAAGCTCTGCCCGTCGGTCGTCGCTTCTCTCCACCTTGCTCTCCCCCGTCGCAGACTCCCGCGGTCTCGTCCCTCATCGAGGGCGCTCCCAGCTCTCTGTCCGTCCGCTCGCAGCCGCAGCCGACCGTCCTCAGTAGTACACGCTGTCTTTGTCCTTGGCCATGCGCGGCCCCGACCGAAACCACCCCTTCTTGAACTTGACCTCGCTCACGGGCGGCGGCGGCGGCGGCGGCGGGCCCTGGCCCATGGCCCTCGCCGGCCGCCACTCCTCTGCGCGCGCAGACGAGAAGCGCGACTGTGGCGATACGTTGCGCACTGCTCCGGCGGCGGGCGAAGCGACGGCGGTGGGCGAGGCGCCGCCGTCGCGGAGCAGGAGCTCGACGGCCGCCTCGACGCTCCCCGTCGACGCGAGCGCCGCCTCGATCCGCTCGGCGCGCACCTCCGGGAACATGGCGCAGAGCACTTGCTTTTGGTGCGCGGCCTCGGCGGCGCCGGGTGCCCCAACCACCGGGGCCGAGGAGCTGCGAACGGCGGACGCCGGCGCGGAGACCGGACGTGCCTCGTGGCCGCGCGCGGTGGCGGGAGGGCGCGGCGCGGCGGCGGCGGCGGAGACGGTCGCCGCCCAGTCCGCGGCGCGCGTCTGCATGAGGTGCGGTGCCGTGGGCTGGCCGGCGGGCGTGGGAGGGAAGTAGTTGGCGCCCGGCGCCTGTCCCGTGGAGGCCGCGGGGGCGGCGGGGGTCGCCACTGCCTGCGGCGGGGCTCGGGTGGCGACGGCTTGCGGCGGCCGCGGCGGCGCCGCCGGCATGAGGGAGTCGAAGAGGCCGAGGTCTGCCGGGCTGAGGGGGCCGGGCGACGCAGACGCGGAGCCGCAAGCCGCAGGCGAGTGGGCGGCCGGCGAGGCGGCGGCGGAGGAGGCGGCCGAAGCGGTGCCGCCGGGGAGGGCGATGCGGGGGACCGCGGCGCCGGCCGAGGCGGGGCGGGGCGAGTCCCAGCGCGCTGCCTCCCAGCCGGCACTCGGGGTGCCGGGCCTGCGGGGCGGGGCGGAGCAAGGTGGGGGGGTGGGGGGGGGGTGGAGGTCGGAGAGAGCATCGTGCAGCGTACTGGCAGCATCGCGTGGGGGCAGGGGGCCACTCTCGGGCGGTGCGGGTGTGTGGATGCGAGGATCTGCATCGAGCATGCTGTCTGCGCTGAGCATGCTACCGAGCGCTGACCCCGTGGGCCAACCGGCGGGTAGAGGGCCGCCAGCGCCGGGGCCCGGCGGGGCGGCGGCGGCGGTGGCTGCCTCCAGCTTGAGCTTGCCCATCGGCGGCGGCTTCGGGGGCCTGCCCGCCGACCCGTGCGGCGGCGGGTCGGTGCCTCTCGGGCTGTCGAGAAGAGACAGCTGCCGACTCGCCATCCCGTCGAGCGCAGCGACGAGGGAGGGGTTGACGAGCTTACGAGCCTCGGCGCGCGCCTGAGCTCCCGCCTCGGCGCGCGCCTCGGCCCGCGCCCTCGCCTCCGCCTCCGCCACCGCCTGCTTGAGCCGCTGCTCTGCCTCGGCCGGGTCGTGCCTATAGCTGGCCTGCGCCGCCGCCGCCGCCTGCGCTACCGCCGCCGCCTCGGCCCGCGCCTCGGCCGCCGCCTCGGCCCGCGCCCTCGCCTCTGCCTCCGCCACCGCCTTCTGAAGCCGCTTCTCTGCCTCGGCTGGGTCGTGCCTGTAGCTGGCCTGCGCTGCCGCCGCCGCCTCGGCGCGCGCCCTCGCCTCTGCCTCCGCCACCGCCCGTTGCAGCATCGCCGCCGCCTCGGCCTCGGCCTCGGCGCGCGCCACGCGCGCCGCCTCTGCCACCGCCTCCTGCATGCGGCGCTGCTGTTCTACCTCGGCGCCCTGCAGGTGCTGCTGAGCGCTAGAGAGCCAATCCGGCTCCTCCTCCTCCGCCGGTGACGCCTTGGTCGTCGTGTGCAGGAGCTGCTCCTGTGCGCCCGTGAGCCAGGAGGGCGTCTCGTCAGTCTCGGCACTGGCAGAGTCCATCGAAGCCACCACGCAAGAAATTAAGTGCACAGGCACAGCTCGTCGAGTGTACCAACCGCGAGAGTGGGAGGGGGGCACGCCGCGGTGGACTCACTCCTTGCCCCATCCCCCCAAATCCTACCCCACCCCACCCCCCCACCCCCCTTCGCTTTTCAATTCCTCTGGTGTATGTGTGTGACAGTCTCGCCCTCCCTCTGCGATCATTTGGCGGATTCGGCTTCTTTTATCTGCTCCCGTGTGCAGCGCGTGCTCTTGCTCAGTCAGAGTGCTTGCTGCGCGCGGCGGGCGCGCGCGATGCAGATCTTCGTCAAGACCCTGACGGGTGCGCCTCGCCGCGCCCGGGCGCCGCGCGCTCCGTCGCCGCCCTTCTTTCCGCCCTCAAACAAAGTAGTGCAGCGCAGTGAAGGCAACGACAGCAGTCACTGAGATGGAGAAATGGCCGACGGCCTCGTCGCGGCTATTGAGGATCTCGAGCACACGCGGGGGCGCAAAGTCCACACCCGAGGCCGCCATCTCGCGCAGATTGATGTAAGCCTCGCCGAGGGCCTGCACCGGCCGCTCCTACTCACAGACCGGGTGTGAAGAGCCGGCGTGCAACAGAGCGAGAAGGGCGCACAGGCCGTGACAGGCCGTACCTCGTGCTTGCCAAAGAGGGTGAGTACCAAGTCCGTCTCGACGGAGGCCTGCGGTCGCATGATGGCCATGAGTACTAGGCGACCCATCCCATAATCTATCTATACCCTCTGATAGTCATGATAAGGTTGAATTCCCTCCGCGGGGCGGACGCAGCTGGGTGAATTGTGCCTCATCACGCCCCGAATCGCAGATCAGCTCGCGCAGCCTGTTCACGGGACGATGTGTAAAGTAGCGCTGATCTTGAGTGTTGAGACGAAGCGGCGAGGCCGAAACGTCGGAAACTCACCGCTCCGCTGTGCGGAAGCTCCGGGTCTCCACGTCGACAAGGCGAACTTGGAAAATCTCCTCGAATCGAACTTGCGCGCTACCATCGGCACTGCTCGGCGCGGTGCGTCGGCGTGGACTGCGGACCTTGGAAGTCACGCGGAGGAGGGACCCCAGCTCGAGCACAAACCACAACTGGCCGAGCGGCGCGAGCACCTGTCGGCCGCATAAGAGGTATGGGTTGAGTGGCCAATGACTCCGTGGAGAGCCACGTGGAGCATTGTTGGGTTGATGCCTCGAGGCCCCTGAGCGAACGTGCGTGCCCGGTCGGCCGATGGTGGCTCGCGTGGGGAGGGGCGGCGCACCCCCGCTTCGAGCGAGACGGAATGCACGACCACGCGTGGGTCGGTGGGCAACGCCAAGAGCCGCGAGGCAAACACGCGATCGCGCCGCCCGCGCAAGGCAGCCTTTGCACGAGAAGGGTGGAAGTGAGTCTCAGCGTCGGCTCCCTCCATCTCCCCACAACGTCTCTGGCGCCTGCAAGAGAGCCGCGGCCGCGTTGCGAATCCGACGAGCCTCCTTCTCCTCAATCGCGCCGCTGCTGCGCAAAAAGGCGGCAGCTGCCACACGGATTGCAGCCATCGCGCGGCGTTTTTCGACGCGCGCCTCACGCCTCGGAGCAAACGCCGCGGTGGCACTACGTCGCCGTTGCGCTGCCTGGATGCGCACGGCCGCGACCGCCACCGCCCGTGCAACCCGTCGCGCCTCTCGCCCGGCGGCACGCGCTTCGCGTTCGCCGAGCGCGGCGCGCCGCTCGGCCGCAAGCCGCTGTGCCACCAGCCGACGACGCGCGTGTGCCTGCAGCACTAGTAGCGCCGCCGTGCCGCAACCCTGCCTCGGTGCACCGTCATGTGCATGTGCGCTCTGGCCCTCGCCCGCCCCCGAAGCAGCTGTGAGGGCGGAAAGGGTCGCGGAACGGATTGCATCGGTTTCAGTACGCCGAGCGTCTGCGCGGACAGCGCGGCGATCTGCCGCGTCGCGTCTCCCAGCCCTGCCACGCGCAAGCCGTTGGACGGCAACAGCCGCTTCCCGCCGAGCTACTTGCCGCACAATCCGCTGCCGAAGGCCGTGCTTAGCCTCCAATGCCGCCCGCCTCATCGAGATGACGCGCCGCCGGCCGGAGGCGGCGCGTGTCCACTTTTGAATGGCGCGCGCGGCGCTCGTCGCCTGGCGGGCGTGTCGGCGCTCCGAGCGCGCCTGCCGCTCTCGTTTCCAACAAAGTGAGGGTCCGTCCGTCGCAAGAGCGGGTACGCAGAGGCCACGCGGCGCTAGGACGCACCTGTGCCGCTACCGCTTGCTCGGCGGCCCGCCTCGCCGCCTCTCCCGCCGCCTGCAGTGGGTTTGGACCGTGAGGGCCTGGCTCACAGCTGCTTTTGAGCCCTCGAGGCTAGCTTTTGGCTGCAGCCGCATTGCCTTCGCGCCTGCTGTTGCCGCTCTGCAAAGGCAATGCGGGCCTGTGTTGCCCGCTTCTCTGCCTGGATGCGCGCCGCGGCGCGGCTGGGCATTGCCACTGTGAGCTCCTCTCGGACGTGCTTCAGCTCCTATGGGGCGAGGGCCGTGGCTCACGGGCGCTGCAGCTTTCTTCCTGCAGCCGTGCTGTCTCATCCAGCCCGAGGGCCACAGGGCTGTGTAGCAAGAAGTAGTGATGGCAGCGATGGGATTGGACACGCCTCAACAGCCGCTTCGTGCCTCCTCCGCTCCCGGCTCAGCTCAGCCCTTGCGTCCTCCACTTGCTGCGCCTCTGCCGCCAGCTCCCTCCGCTTGGCCTCGATGAACTCAGAGGTATACGATGCACTCTGTAGGTTGGAGGGCGGATCGTACGTTGCTGTGTGCTGGATGGGACTGTGCAGTGAGCTACCACGTGACAGCCTCCAACTAGCTGCACCGATTGCGCCCGCGCGAGGTTAGAGAAGGAGGACTGCACGCTTGACGGCGAGGCAGGGGAGGCGCGTCCTGCGCCCGCGCGAGGCTGTGCACCCGTGGCACGAGCCTGCGCGGGCGGGGCGGAGCGAGGAGGTGGCCTGGGGCGTCGGTCCATCGATTCGTGTGGGTGTCGTCGCCTTTTCGTTGTTGTTTCACGTCACGCCAGTGTAACGTCGCGAGACCGGGCAAGCGCTGGCAAAAACCCGAAAGGACTCGGCACTGGTGACGGCGTAAATTCAGTCAATGCACAATGGTGAGATTGCTGTGCCATGTGGATCCGCGCACGCCCCGGTCGGCCGCGCATCTCGCAGCGGCGGCCCCGCGCGCGCCGCACACCCCACGGTCTCATCGATCGCACACCCCGCTAGCGCTACCTATACCTCCCAGCCCGCCACCAGCACCACAGTTGCACATAGAGAGCGCCGACAGACCCCCCACGCCCCAGTGTCGTCTGTCCCTCACGCCTCAGTCTGTCGAGAGTCGTATGGCCTATACGGGGTGTGGACCCTGAGTTGACCAGGGGTTGTGCGCTGGGCCCTCCTGCTCGGCTCCAGCCAGTAGACAAGTCTTGTCATCAACAGAGTAGATGGATCTGACCTCGGGGCCGATGTGACCAAGCGCTGGTAGCGTGGTTTTACCTCACACCCATGGTCTCACAGTGTGCCGGCAGTCGCCGAGCAGTGTCGCTCACACAAGCCGCAGCACAAGTGACTGAGGGCCAGTGAGGGCGAGCCCATCGCTGTCACAGCTGTGGCAGCCGCACAGTAGGCTGTGTCAACTGTGCAGAGTGTGTGAGCAGCAGAGGAGCTGCTCTCCAGGCTTCTGTCGCAAAGAGCTGCATGCCACCGAAAGCGCTGTCGAGGTTCGCCGAGCGCGGCGCAGGTTGGAGGACACCGTCACCGACGAGTGCGTTGGAGTATTCACTCCGGACAAAGACGGCGACACGCACACGAGCTGCGGCCGTGTCGTTTGAACCGGACACCTCACCCTTTTGAAAAGCGCATGAAAGACCACAAAACAAGCTCAAGGTGGCATCTACCTCCAGTCCTCACAGCGCGGGACCAGGCCGCTCTCTCCGCCCTCGACGCGCGCGTTGCGGCCGCCTTGCATCGCGGCATCCTCGTCGCCGGCGCAGCTGGTGTCCGCCCGCGCCGACGAAAGATCATGCCGGCCCGCCCCGCTAATGCGCCCAAACTTACTTGGAGCGCTGCCGCATCTTCCTGCGCTTGCGCTGCAGGCGGCGCGTGCGCTTCTTCTTCCACTTCCAGCGCATCTTGGAATGGGCCTTTTTCCAGGGGTTGGACTTGTGGCCCATGCCGCCGCGCAGGCGGAGCACGAGGTGGAGGGTCGACTCCTTCTGAATGTTGTAGTCAGAGAGGGTGCGGCCATCCTCGAGCTGCTTGCCCGCGAAGATCAGGCGCTGCTGGTCGGGCGGGATGCCCTCCTTGTCCTGGATCTTGGCCTTGACGTTGTCAATCGAGTCAGACGGCTCCACCTCGAGAGTGATCGTCTTGCCTGCGCGCAAGGAGGGTGGCGTTCGTCACCCAAGGAGGGGTGGCGTTCGTCGACCGTCGACTGTCGGCTCTGCCGCGCTGCACGCTCGTGGCTGCAGGTGTGCTGTCGCGCGGAAAGAAGGGCGGCGACGGAGCGCGCGGCGCCCGGGCGCGGCGAGGCGCACCCGTCAGGGTCTTGACGAAGATCTGCATCGCGCGCGCCCGCCGCGCGCAGCAAGCACTCTGACTGAGCAAGAGCACGGGAGCAGATAAAAGAAGCCGAATCGCCAAAACGCCAAGTGATCGCAGAGGGAGGGCGAGACTGTCACACACATACATCAGAGGGGAATTGAAAAGCGAAGGGGGGTGGGGGGGTGGGGTGGGGGAGGATTTGGGGGGATGGGGCAAGGAGTGAGTCCACCGCGGCGTGCCCCCCTCCCACTCTCGCGGTTGGTACACTCGACGAGCTGTGCCTGTGCACTTAATTTCTTGCGTGGTGGCTTCGATGGACTCTGCCAGTGCCGAGACTGACGAGACGCCCTCCTGGCTCACGGGCGCACAGGAGCAGCTCCTGCACACGACGACCAACGACGATAGCCGGCAACCTCCCCTCTCCCGACGCCACCAACACACACCACACACGCAAAGGCAGGGATACCTCCCTTCCTCCCCCAACACGCTGCGAACGCTGGGCCACAAAACTGCTCGCGCCGTACGCCTTTCTCCGCCACCGCTAGCTACCGGGAGTCACCCGGAAGAGCTGCCGCAAACGGCTTGGGGTCGGCGACCTGCGCGCCCGCCGAATAGCCGCCTCCCGTCCTCGCACCATGGACACATCTCGCGCTTCCAGCGCCGTCTCTCTCGCGCCTACCTGCCCCCCCCCCCCCCCCCCGGGCCGTGCGCCCCAGCAACTCCCGTGAGGGCCCTGCACATGGCTGCGGGGGTTGGGGCGGCCAGCCCCTACGTGCTGCCCTACGTGCTGCCGCTCCCGTTCGCCTCGCGCGCCTCCTCCTCTGACGGGGGCGTGCCGAGGTACACAAATAGCATGCAGAGCGCGCTGAAGACGGCGGCGCCTGCGAGGAGAGAGGCGGTGGCGTGGGCCACCCGTGGCTGCAAGGGAGCGAGCGAGGCTGCGGGGGCGGGAGGGCGATGAGCGGCACCTGCCGCGAGCCACGTAAACTGGATCCAGTCCTCGCGGTAGCCGCCCGCCACCATCTTGCTCTCCTGAGGGGGGGACGGGGCGAGCGGCGGGTGGCGCCTGCGTGCCGCCAGCGCTAGACTGCGGAGGGGAGAGGGATGCCCCCGCCACAAGCCGCGCGCCTTTGTCGACGTGGTGAAATCTCGCTTCACCGGCGAAGCCGGCGCCTCCTCCTCCTCGCCGTCTGCGCTGCCGCCCTCCTCCTCGGCCTCCACTGCCGCCTCCGGGAGCTCCAGCTTGCGCGCCTGCAGCGCCAGAAGGGAAGACACGTCACGTCCAGACCAGCCCCGGGCACACCCAACCGGCTGCCCACCGACGCTGCGGAAACGACCGCGACGCCGCCTGCTCCGCCCCCGCTCGCAGCACCGGCACCGGCCGCACCCTCGCCCGCTGCGATCCTGTCGGCCGCGGAGCCGGCAGCAGGCGAAGCCTCGCCGCCCCCGCAGCAAGCGGCTGTCTCGCCGCCATTCGCACAAGCCTGCCCGCCGCCTCGCGCCTAGCCGCAACAATGTCCCGTCAGACACCGCCGGCGCGCGGGACGAGGCAGCCGCCGTCCTCGGGCTCTCCTCCCCCTCCCCCTCCCCCGGCGTTGCGGCGGCGGGCGGCGCCGCCGCCTCGCCAGCTGCCGCCGCCTCGTCCGCCTCGAGGAGCTTCGCGCACGCTCTGTGCCCCTTTGCGCGCGCCCACTGCAGCGGCGTGAGGCCCTCGAAGGGCGAGTGCAGGCCGGCCTTGCCCCCGCCGCCCTCGCGCAGCAGCTGCCGCACGCACGCCGTCCTCCCCATGCACGCCGCCGCGGCGAGCGGCGACGCCGCGCCCTCCGCCACCGCCTCGCCCTCCGCGCCATACTCGAGCAGCAGCCGCACGACCTGCCGCGACAGTGCGCACGGCGTCAAGAGGGCGAGGCCGGCAGGCGGGGCGGTCGGGGCGGGCGCTGCCTTGTCGTGGCCGTGGTAGCAGGCGGCGGCGAGCGGGGAGGAGCCGTCCCCGGCACAGAGCCCGAGGCTCGCCTGGGGGGTTGAGAGGAGAGGGGGGGG